TACCCGTTGATCCTTGTGCACATACAAAAGTAGGAGCGCCGTCGTTGATGATATTGTTAACGAGAATTTCTTGAAGCTGGATTAGCATGTTGCCCATCCTATTGGAACGAAAATGAAGATAGTCAGGAAGGTGAGCATTGAAATCACCCATCAAAATGATTCCACCATCAGTGGGAATTCTATTGGCTAATTTTGTCAAAAGATTGAGGGTGACTTTGGCATTATGAGAGATATACATCCAAATGATGTATAGCCGTCCAAGGACCGTGCTAACTCTAACGCCAACAATCTGTAGAATATCCATCCATGGACCTGACAGATCTATTATTTCAAAGATGGAAGTATTTTTAATAAAAATTGCAGTGCCGCCCCCGGTGCAAACCCCCTGTTGTTTTAATCTCAACAAGACCTTGCCCTATCTAACTACACAGTTTATCATGCTCCTACATAGCCTAGTAGTTTTACGTACGAGATCTCCATATACAGGTATATCCACACGTACCCCATGGTCGCGGGGCCAAAATACGCTCGACCAACGTCGATGAATCTGATCTTCTGGTCATCTACCGATTCCTACAAGGCCGGTAAGGACCTTGCAGACCCTCGGTTTGGGCCTAGACCTTTCCAATCCGGCCGCTTCCTCAGTTGAGACCGCAACTAACTCGTTGAGCGAACGTTGGGACCTACAGTGTGGAGCGACTCCGATGGTGCTAAAGCACCCAAAGAATCGTCCTCCACCATCAGCCTCTAACCCAAGCGATGTGAGCTATAAACCACTGCCATCAAGAGTCTAACCCAGTGATCCGGATGCAGATTAATCTTCACGGGCCCGGATCCTTTTGGTACTGTTTACACTCTGCTAAGACTCCGATCATGCTCTTACAGAGAAAAAGATATGCTTACCGCTACTTTGACTTCAAGGTACTACGGGGATGGAAAAACGGCTATTACGACATATAATTCCTTGTGACACCTTCTTTTTCCCACAAGATAGACGATGCCTAGAGTGCAAGAAGAGGGTGTCCAATGAAATGGCGAAGCTGTTAGTTACAGTCATTTTGGCCCCGATAACACCCCAACAGGAGGCGATAAGGTATTCAGGCTTTGAAGTGACACACTTTTCCACTTTTTTGTCACTTTTTTTGGTCAGGGCTACTTTTTGATACTAATTTGGGCAAAAGGCTACTAAATGCTACTTTTTTCCAAAAAAAGGTAAAAAAAATTGACAGAATTCAAGAATTTTAGTTTTTTTAAATGAATTTTGTTCATTTCAAAAAGCCCGCCATTTAATGAAATTTATTATTGAATGCGTGAACTTTATATGATTAGATGACAACTTCTTGCAGCTTGATTGATATATAGTCATAATTGGCCAGCCATAACCTGTAATTAATGCTTTTATTCTTTTTGTCAATGCATATCTAATAAAATCAAATTTTTCAAATGTTCCCGCGCTGCGCTGGTGGCTCAGCTCTGGACTTTAGTTCGCTCAACGCCACAGGGAAGGCGAACATCATAACTATTTCTCGCAGTTGAGGTGCCATTAGATTAGTATATAAGCAGTGATCGAAAATTTTTTTCTTGTCGAAGTTTTTTTTTCTGCCCGATGTCTCTCCTATTTATTGGATTTGAGACAAATTCTTTTTTGGAAGAAATGGTTTCACTAATACTTTGATGACTATTTTTTTATTTTAATTTAATTATTAATTTTTCCCATTAGGTTTTTAAATTCATTTGCTTTCTTTTTATTTTTCGGTATTTATGCTCCTTCTAAATTTCCTGAATATTTAACAATTACATTTAACAAATCTTGAATTTTTAATTTCCTTAAATATCCCCTCACAATATGCCAAGAATCTTTAATTTTAATATTTCACAGAAATTCAAATCCAATATTCAGCCGACCTCTGTGACTGACCTCTATTATGCGCGGACATTTAAACATCAACTCAACCTCGTTTTGACCTCGCGACTCAAGTTCCCGAACCTCGTCAAGCGAGGTTCAGTCAAGGTTCAGGAATGTTTCGGTGCTGTCCGGGATGACATTTATTCAGAAATTTTTGTTTACATGTTATAAATAACTTATTGAAGAATAAAAAAAAATTTTCACTTGTAGTCCAAGATGGTGGCGATGTACAACATTTTCAAAAAATGTTCATTTTTCATGGGGGGATTGATTCCGAGATTTCTACAACAAATAGAGACATACATAAAAGCCATCTTGGACTAGAAGTGAAATTTTTTTTTTCATATTCTTCAATAAGTTATTTATAACATGTAAACAAAAATTTCTAAATAAATGTCACAGTTTTTTTAGAAAGAAATCCTAAAAAAGCCTTCTTTTTCCTCATTTTGAACTGCAATGTCCCCTTAAAAAATATTGATTTTTAAATTTTTTTTAAATATTTGTATTCAGAATTCATGAAAAGTAAGTCAGAAATCTTCAAAACTATTTTATAAAAAGAAATGTCATTTAACATCACAAATAGTCACAGTGTTTAATGATTTATGGTATGGACAAAAAAAAGGGTCTCCACTAGTTCTCTATTTTTCTCTATTCTCTCTATTTTTAACCGAGTAGGAAAAAGAAACTTCTTTTCCGTAAAATACTGGTTTCTTCACAGTGGGAACCTTGTATTTCTTTAATTATATATTTTTTGGTTTAAAATACACTTTCTTACGAAGGTTTAAATCAAGTTTTACCTGGATTCCAATCACCATTGTTCTGCTCTGATTCTGTGAAGTCCGTCAAGTAAACTTCCACAAAATACCTTAGATATTCAGCTCTGTCAAACGTCTGTTAGTATGAAGTAACTTTCTGACTGTATCCCTAAGTCTCTCCAGCTCGGAATTCAACCAGTTGGTCTTTCTGCTAGTCTCAATTTTTTTAGGGTTACAGTTTTTCTCAAAAGCCAAAATAATTGAATCTTGCAGAAATTTTTCTGAAGGTTCCAATTCTTTTTGCTTCCTCGTGGAGGAAGCTATGTAGTCCTTTCGTTTATAAACTTTTTAAAAATGGTGAAAACAAATTTTCCTCTATATAGAAACATGTTATATGAGATCCTGATCAATTGTCCGGATGTATGTATGTGTGTGTGTATGTGTGTGTGTGTGTGTGTGTGTATGTGTGTGTGGATCGTTTTTGTGAACACGATATCTTTAACAGGTTTTAATGGATTTGGATAAAATTTGGTAGGCTTATTTAACACATTAATCTCTCAAAAATGACGAGAGGATTTTTAAAAATACCCAAAAAAAAAAATTTTATCGTCTTTTTTCCAAAAAATTTTTTTTAATTGAAAAAATTTTTAAATCGAAAAATTTAAGGTAATATATAATATAATCGTCTTCTTTATGTCAAGATGAATCGATTGATATATATAAAGTATAGATTTGATTGAAATTTAAAGAATTAAAGAAAGTTAAAAAATCAAAAATTCTCATTTTAGCTAAAAAATGATGTGTTTATTTAAATTCATGTTTATATATGAAATAATTTTATTCCCTGCATTGAAACGAATTGGTTGGTATATATAAAGTATAGATTTGATTTAAAATTTGAGAATTAATAAAAATTGAAAAATCGAAAATTCATATTTTAGCTAAAAAATTTTGTGTTTTTTTTTAATTCAAGTTGATGAATAAAATAATTGTATTCCTTGCATTAAAACGAATCGATTCGTATATATAAAGTTTATGTTACACTCAAAATTAATTAAAATTTTCTTTATTTTTCAAAAAATTTAATTAATTTAAAACATTTTTAATTCGAAAGTTTTTAAATCAATCAATTGAATTGGACAAATTCATTGCTTCCTTCACGAGGAAGCGAATTTTTTGCTTCACACAATGAGGAAGCATAATGTTTATGAAATAAACATAAAGGACCCCCTACTTGTTCTGTTCTGTATCTAGTAGGGAAATATCATTCCAATTCCAATAGCTCTGGTGTTTTCACTGCAATCAAAATATATCAAGCGGAAGATTTGACGTAGAGGTATAATGATGTGTACTGTCAATTATTTATTATCCGGTACACACCATTAGAACTCGACTGTCGATAAACCGGTTATATTGAAAAGATGTTTTCTGCAGTTTCTCACTCCAATGTCAAGAAAATCCATTTTCGGGTTGTCCAGGCAAATGCTAATACTTTTAATTCAAGTCGCCCTGTAGCCCGCAGTAGTTAGAAAGGTTAGTTATGAAAGAATTTCCACAAGTATACTTGTAACGCTGGATGATATTTCAAAAAGACGATTGTATAAATAAATAAATAGAAGGTTTTAATTAAATTTAATAAGTTCTACGTGTATTTCTAAGTGGAATTGTTTCAAAATACCACTGGAAATTTCACATGTAGAGGAAAATGCAACATAATTATTTAAACGGTTTCCATTAAAAGTTGTGACTGGTATTTATAAACTTTTAATCTCACAATTAATAATGGACCTTTCGGTCACGATACTGTCAGTTAATACAATGATTTTACATTTTCCTCAAATTAAAAACAGCTCGTTACTTTTACTTTGCATTTATGAAAAATAACAAAAATAAATAAATCTCAAAATTATCTTACTAACTCACTACTCGACTTGTTTTGCTTTTTTAAAATAATAAACATATATTCTACTATTAAAGTTTTCTAAGAATAAAATTAAAAAATGTAGTGTATATATTGTATTCAAATAATCCAATTTTCTTTTAATTTTTGCAAATATTTCGCATAGCAACGGAAAGTTTCTTTTTTACTAAAAAGTTTTGAGCTAAATTACACGATCGCAGAAGATCTGATAATTTTGTTATATAGTACTTCAATTTTCTTTGGTCTAATATTTCAAAAAAGAACAATTGACGAAAATGCGCTATTGGTCTAATAAAAATGGTCGGTAGTGTACCAAAGTCGACAAAATTAAATTTTCAGGATGGCCCACTTGGGACACGCCTATACTTCAACAGAGTTCGGTGCATAAATTTACAAACAAGTAATATCCTTATCCCAGACAATCATCGGCAGCGGATGTGGGTCTCCAAAATTAGAAATGGAAGAAGCTCTAGACCGCTTACTAAGAGCTACAAAAGATTTGAAGCAACACCTATGTGCAACAACGTTAGATCAAGCTGGCGACCTTGGATCAGTGACGAAGGCTCTACATGAACTGGTGTCATCAATCAAAAACCTAGCTTCATCCAGCGACATTGATGGTCTAAAGGAAAATAGCGACAGATTTCAGGAATATATTGATCACATTCTTGAAGTAAGTTTCAATATTATTAATTTGAATACTAGATTAGTTATTTAATCTTAGAATCGAAAACTAGACCTCACCACATCATAGCGAAAAATTATCTCTACTCTCACTCCGCCACACTTCCCATAATTCTTCCTTGTATGAGATTTAATACAAGGCCATCACCACTGGAAAATCTCACATGGGATTCCACATGAAAACCTACATTGGATTTCATGAGGGAATCCATAAAGGTTTCCATATAAAAAGTACACCGGAATTTCGGATAGGATTTGGTGTAAGAAACCATATTTTTTATTTTATGGGTTCCTATGTAGAATTTCTTGTAAAATTTCCCATGGAATCCCATATAGGATCTAATATGAAATTCTGTCCTAAATTCCGGTGTGCTTTTATATGGGAACAGTTACAGATATGGAATCCCATATGGGTTTTTCCAGTTGGAATACGTAACAACATGTACAAAACTTTTCATGTAAACTTACGCATGTTCGACATAAGGAATTAAAACAAAGAACATGTGCAAGAACTTGCACCTGTCCATGCTGTTGGTAACTCATAGTATAATTTGCATTGACTCAATCAATTCAGAACTTATTTAAAATAAGTTCTTGTATTAGGTCTTAACTCATGTAAGTAATTTTCCCTACTGGAAAATCCTACATAGGTCCCTACAAGGAATTCTACAAGGATTTCATGTAAATTCTTACAGGATTCTTTATAGGAACATATGTAAGATTTTCCAGTAGGGAAAATCCTATAAGAGTTTTCCTATAGGATTCATTATATATAGTTCATATAGTTTCCTACGTAGGATCCTACAAAGGATGTCACAAGAAATGAAAATTAAAAAATTTTCTTTTATTTTTTTATTTATGTCATTGTTGCCTTGCTTATTTTTCGATTTCTAGAATTCTGCAGAAACATTTGAAAATAAATTTGGAGGGACTAGAGATTGAACCCGGGTTAGACGCGTGCTAGCTAAAGACCCTATACACTAACCTAACCACCGACTGCAGAGAAAAACAAAATTTTTCCTCATACTCTGTAAGTAGAAACTTTAGGTTGCAGAGTGTGAGGAAGATTTTTGTTTTCCTCCGCAGTCAGTGGTAAGGTTAGTGTATAGGGTCTTTAGCTAGCGCGCGTCTAACCCGGGTTCAATCTCTAGTCCCTCCAAATTTATTTTCAAATGTTTCTACAGAATTCTAGAAATAGAAAAACAAGCAAGACAACAATGACATAAATAAAAAAATATAAAAATTTTTGTTAATTTTCATTTTTTGTGACATTCTTTGTAGAATCCTGTAGGAAAACTCTTAAAGGATTTTCCCTTATGGGAACCTACATAGGTTCCTTTAAAGAATCCTATAAGAATTTACATGAAATCCTTGTAGTTCCAGTAGGGTAGGGAAAAGGGGTTTGCCTAAACAAAGAGAAATAATACATGAAGTGATACAAGATCTTGTGCAAGTATACACGTGTTTGAATGTTACCAGAACATGAACCTGTTCTTTGCTCCAATTCCTTGTACAGTACATGTGAAAGTTTATATGTAATGACTTGTCAATTTTCTCGTAATTATTTTTATATTATGATCTTGTACTAGATCTTGTTCAAGGATTTTCATCTGGAAGATGTTGAGATAAGTCTTTTTTATAAAAAAGTATCATATTAAAAATTCTTTGACAAAGACGGTTAAACCTCGTTAACACGAATTCGTCGAGACTGTATTCACACGGCAATTTCGATGGATTAATACCTTTAAAACAGCGTGGATTAGCCCTCTTTCCTATTATCCAAGGGCGTAGTTTTTCACTGCCGTCTAAATTACAGATAAACGCAGCCGTCAATCGCTGTTTACTTCTTTTGTCACCATGGCACTTCTCTCCTTTAATACCTAATGTCCGTTCCGGAAGTTAATTGAAAAATATTCCACTCTTCTCAAAATTAAAAATATCTTTTGCAGCATATGGTTTCTTAACTTTATCAAAATATGTAATCCATTCGTTCGCATCAGTTTCAATAACTTTGTTTAACTCGCCACATACTGCAACACTTCCTATGTTATGTCCATTTTTGAAACGATGCAGCCAACCTGCATTTAAAAGAACATTTAAAATCTTCTATACCTAATTTTTCTGTAATTTTTTCGACATTTTCCTAAATAATAGAACCACTAACTAGAAGATTCGCACTTCGAACATTATTTAACCATGTTAACAGTTGTGTCTCGAGATTTTCATGTTTCGTAAGTCTCATTCGCTTTGTTTTTTGAGTTGGTGTCACAGACCTTGCAGCTATAGTTTGATACAACTTTTATTTATTACTTAAAATTGTTGACAAAGTCGATTTTGGTGTTTCAAAGTCTTTAGCGATATTAGTCTTTGATTACATGCCTTTCTCAACTTCCTCTAAAATTTTCAATTCCAAAGACAAATTGAAAGAAGACTGTTTACGCTTCATGTTGAAGGCGGACTGACATAACGCTCTGCCTGCAAGTCGGAAAAAATTTGAGCATAGGGATTTGATAACACGAATTTCCTAAGGTTCGTGTTAACCCCTTAACTGTTAGAGAAAAAATGGATACTGTGGTCCTAAAATATCCAACAAATTCTGATCGACAAATTTTTTATAAAACTTAGTATTTTGAGAGTTTTTGGGGTTTCTGAATTAAAAAAAAATTTCGAGATTTTTACTGATTTTTAGTTGCTTATTAGTTAAAAATAATAAATAATTATTTAATTATTAATTAACCAAACCTCATTGATACCTGTAGTGTACAAATAATGATATAAAAGAATTTATTTTACAATTTAAATAGAAAATTTCATTTATTTTGTTTTAAGATGATCACGACACAATGTATGTGTCGCTGACAGTCTATTAAAAGGTCTCTTATGTATTCTTATGTATTAATTAAATAGACCTGCAAATTTAGTAATATAAGAATTAGATTTATAAAGATTAACATTCCTACTGGAAGTAAAAAATATAAAAAGAAATAGAAATATGGGAATAGAAGGAGATAAATTTATTTTTTTTGTAATAGCTGAATTGCACTCCCAAAACGTTATCGTTTTCTATAGAGTAGAGATGTGATAGCGACGTGCGAATAGTTTTAATTTGAATGAGTAAAATTTATATTCAATTTAAATAGTCAATTTTTAATAGGCTAGTGAAATCTAGTGACTTCTTGCAGAAAAAAAATTTCTTGCTTATATTCAATGGTCCACTTGGTGTCCAAAGTAAAAACCTAATAAGCAGTTTTTCCGTAAAGTTGAAAATCATTTGCACGATATATCGACTTTCAAACTTACGGAAAAGCGACTTACTATGTTTTTACTTTAGAGAGTATACTTGTAGTAGCCATCCTAATTGTTTCATTCTTTTCTTGAACATATGTTGAAAGAGAGAAGGAATGAAAAATGGGTACTGTAAGCAGGTCGATACCTGATGGCGTATCGCAGTATTTCAATTCCAAATACATTTTAATTTTTACACGGTAATTTTTATATTTTTTATCGTTAATTTTTTTTAGGTTTGTAAATTGTTAAGACACGTCGCACGAACTGAGTCTTTACAAGTGTCTGCAAAGTTTACGGAAATTAATTTAAGGATATATGGTCCACAAGTTGTAACTGCTGCTTATACACTGGCTAGACATCCCACCAGCAAAATTGCTAAAGAAAATCTTGAAGGTGAGTTGCGTTCTTAAAATTTTTAATGATTTTTGTAAAAAACATGTTGAAACAAATGTCATTCTTTAAGCCGATGATCGAATGACTGTTTCAATGAAACAATGTGTTATCTCTATTATTTTTTGCTAAAAAAGTGGGCAATGGATGTAAAAATGAAAACAACTATTTTGTAGTTTATAACGAAGTATATCGTTATTTAGATATCAGTCCCCAATATTCATTATATGGTCGAGAATTCTATATATTAGTATCAGCGTCGAATATGTCATACAGGGAGATCTATTCGTATGCGTGTGTGATTGTGCGTGTCAGCGGTTTTTCCTTAGTATAGGTGGTTCGTTGTCCAATGAAGGATTAGGAAGTTCCAGATATTTTCGGATTCTCACCGACCAAGGGCCAGCAGGAAGGAAGAGGGCGCGCAATAATCAATCGACAGATCAATCCGAGCTGCCGTGTTTGACGGATGTGTGCCGACAGTTTGTTGGAATAGACTGTTGATATATATATATACTTCGTGTAGTGATAAGTTGTTAATAAATAAATATTATATTGTTTAATTCGTGCGTTTTTGTGTCTTCTATTCCTTGGGTCAAGTCGCAGCCTCATCGTCGTCCAGCGGATTTTCTCAACAAGAGTGTGTTTCGTGAGTATCAAAAATAAGAGTAACAGGTAGTTCAAGTCAGGTCGTCGTCGTCGTGTTTCCCGATCGTTCTCAGCGGAATCTCCCCATGAGAGAGGCTCGTATGCCGGAGAGTAGTGTAGCGAAATCACAGTACGTAATTTAAGCACGAGATTGTGGAATATTGTTATTTTAATTAATATTTCTAAGATCTAAATTAGCGTTACAAAATGCGCCCAATGTGAGGCCCATGCTGAGACATTGAGTTGAACTAACTTTTATTTTGCATTCACCGTTAATTATAAAGTGGTAATTATCAGCGAGGAGGTATTAAAGAGTTTAAGCGTGATTATTTATTGAAGGTATTGTGTTGTATTTGTTTGTTTAAGTGTGAAATGATTTTTCTTTCTCGATTTTTCGAATTTTACATTTTATTTTATTAATTTCAAGTGAATTTCTGAACATGTGCTCGGATGTGACGTCATCCGCCAGCCGGTCTCACTTTAGCGCCAAATCAGCTGTTCGGCGTCCCCTGTGAATCCATGCCGCATGGTTCTCAAATATCATCGAGATATTGAAAGTTTAAAATTTTTTTTTGATTTTATTGATAAATGTTAATTGTTTTTGTGTGTAATTTATTGTTTGATTTTTCTTTTTTTTTGACATTTTTCAAATAATAAGGAGAAACTCGGAAATAAAATTGTAGAGTCAGTGTTCTCGTATAATTACCGTTGATTAAAATATTTGTTCCTTTTTTTACGAGTATACAGTGACTATCAGCGTAAAATCAGCGTTATCAGAGAGTATTCCGTTTAAAGGGAAATTTTTTTTTACCTTTATATAACGGGTGGAACAAATAATAATTCTCAACGGAAATAATTATTTTTTATAATTTTATCAATTATATGACGCGTAAAGTCAAACAGGACATTACGTTTTTCAAGTGAATCGAGAAAGCGTTCAATTTAATCAATTGATCTTTTATAAGCGGACATTGATTTATGTTTGAATTTATAAATTATTGTACTTTTAATAATTTTTCAGCGACAACAAATTTTATTTTGTGTGTTCGTCTAGTTATGAATAGTGTTCCTTTTTTTAGTCCTCGCTAAATTTAACGGTGACGTGTATTAGTGTGAGTTACAAATTTTCTTTTCCCGCGTGACGTCATAGGACATTATTATTTTTCCCGCCTAGCGTGAGTAGTGGTGAGAGTATTAGAGCGTGGAAAATTTATTTACGCGCGAAGAAAATTGAGGGAAAAATTTTAGAAAATTAATTTTTTTTCTCTCTCGAGATGTTTTATTTATAAAAAAAAAAAATTTTTTTTGTTTTCGTAAATTTTTTTTTTTGGCGTGTTGAAAATTTTTACTGCACAAACTGATCAGCGTTATATAATACAATGTCCCTCCGACTAGTATTCCCAATCAGCGCCAGACTGAATTACCCCAGAGAGTAAATGAGAGAAAAAGAGTTCTAAGACCTCCAGAGTGGCAAGAATGGGGAATTGGAGATAGAACTGCTTTTAATGTTGATCAACAGAGAAGTGAATTAGATGTTGCGGAAAAACATCAAGGAAATCAGCGGAACGATATACATAACAAGCATATAGAGGGCGGTAGGGGAGATAATCGACGTCTCAATAGTGTTAATTCATCGCAGGGTCATAATAGATCGGGATTACATTTATCTTCGGACGAGTCTGACTCAGCGCTTGAAAATGGTTCAAACCTGGCGCCAACTAGGCATACGAGGTACGTGACAGATATTAGCGCGCGTGCGGTTAAAGCATTAAAGGATTGGGAAATAAAATTTTCAGCGATGGATAAACAAGATCCATTAGATTTTCTAGATAGGCTCGAAGAGTGTAAGGATTGTAATCAGTTCTGCGACTACGAGTTAATGAGAGCGTTACCTAGTGTTCTTCGACAAGGAGCAAGTCGATGGTATAGGATCCGTAGAAATGAGATTGATTCGTGGAAGACGTTTAAAAAATTATTTATCCGGGAATTTTCAGTGTCCATGGAGGATGACGATATTTGGGACGAGTTGAAGGCCCGTACTCAGGCCAAAGGTGAGAAAATATCAGCGTATATTATGAATCTGCGTATGATCAGCGATCATTTCAAACGTCCCATTTCCGAGGATAATTTGTTGAAAGTGGTCTTCAGGGGATTGGTACCAGAGTATCGGCGTTATCTCGCAACACATGAGATTAACTCATTAGCAGAATTGGAGAAAACGTTACGACAACTCGAAAAACTCAAGGACCTTGATAGCCGTTATGTACCGCCACCTTCGAGAGATAAGATGAGATTCCCATTAGCAGCGCCTAAAGGGACTCAGCGAGGATCAAAGATATATGCTTTTATGGAGAGTTCAGCGTCTGATTCCGAAGATAGTTCAGCGGCGAAAAAGAAAAAGAGTAAATCACCCAAGCGTAAGAGTAGAAAGAAGAGAGAGAAAAATAAAGCGGAAGAATCTGTGGATGCGTTTGGATCCAATCAGGGATCAAGAGGGGAACCACAGAAGAGTCGAACCAAGACTGGGCCCAATCATGGCAAAGTTACTGCTTCAGTTCCAAAACCACAATGGGGACAAAAACCAGACTTGGGACCATCCTCGAATTTTCAGAGACCGTTTGTGGGTACATGTAACAATTGTAAAGTGGTTGGCCATCGAGCGCCAGAATGCCCTTACAGGATATGTTATAATTGCAGAGAACAAGGTCATTTTTCAGCGGAGTGTCCCAAAAGGGACAAAGCGAACAATGTGGCTTGTCAAGTCTGCGGTACCAAAGGTACAGTTTTCGCGCGTTGCGCGAATTGCAAAGCAATTCGAGAATGGTTGGGAAACGCGGAAGGGGGGGGATCGATCAGCCTTCCCCCCCAATCCCAATCTCGGGGACAGAAATAGATGTCCCAGAAGAACCGGAAGAAATTTTCTTCCAGTTAAAACAAATGGAGTACACCGAAATGAATGAGGAGGACTCACTCCATATTCAGCGTGAACCGGGGAAAATTAGCGAGAGTAGCGATTCGGTGGAAAAAGTGTTGTGTGATCCGTGTCCCAGCAAGAGTGTTACTTGTGAAGTAATAAATGGGACATTGGTATCAAATCCGTGTCCCAGCGAGAGTGTTACTTGTGAAGTAACAAATGGGACACCGGAGTCTAACCCGTGTCCAAGCGAGAATGTTACTTGTGAAGTAACATGTGGGACCAATTCAGCGTATCATTGAGCGAGAGTGGGACAGTGTTTCCTGGTTTTAGTGGGACTATTACGGCTGAGAATGAGACAGTACGTATAGTCCAAGGGAGGGGGAAAACTGCATGTAATGCAGATATAACCTCACCCAAGTGTAATAATTCTCCTGGCGTTAGTGGGACAATTACGGCTGAGAGTGAGACAGTACGTATAGTCCAGGGGAGGGGAGAAACTGTACCTGTTACAGAGATAACCCCACCCAAGTGCGAAAACGTGGATGGCTCTAGGGCCGAAAACCGATACTTTTGGAAAGTATTCATAGCGGACAAACCATATTTTGCATTATTTGATCCGGGTGCTATGATTTCGGTTGTTGGTCCCCAACTTATGGTGAAATTTAGAGAAAAGTTGGAGGCTACTGATTCAGCGATCCAGAGTGTGATAGGCGGATCCACCAAGACGATGGGTAAACTGAGGTTATGGTTAACTGTCGACGGTCATACACAGTCGTTTGAGCTCAAAGCTGTGGAATCATTGACACAAGACCTGATTCTTGGGATGGATTTCTGTCGTGAAATGGATATTGAGGTCCAATTTGGAAAAGGACTTTGGAGAATCAAAGGCCAAGAGTGGCACGAGTTTGCGAGTCGACTAGATCAGCGTCAAGATGGTGAAATCTTCGCTGAATGCGCAGGAATTTGTGAGTTGACAAATGATCAGCGTCAGGAAGTTCAGCGTTTAGTCGACGAGTTAGTGTTACCACAGGGTGTAGAGCACGGAATGACAACTTTAACCGAGCACAATATCAGCGTCATTGATCCGACACCGATAAAACACAGACCCCGCAGAATGTCTCCTAAAATGTTAGAGTGGTTAATTCAGGAAGTCACGAAGTTACTCCGGGAAGGAATAATTGAAAAAGCGTCTAGCGAGTGGAGTACGCCACCAGTTGTAGTCAAAAAGAGTGATGGAACTTTGCGTTTGTGTTTTGATTTTAGAGATCTCAACAAAGTAACCGTCAAAGACGCTTATCCAATACCTAGCGTCGACTCTATTTTGGACAAGCTTAGGAAGGCACGCTATATGTCAAAGATTGATTTGAAATCAGCGTATCATCAAGTGCCAATGTCTGCATCAAGCAAGAAATATACTGCTTTTTCAATTCCTGGTTTGGGA